ACACTAAAGAGTTTGAAATTCAATGGAATGAGTTTCAGCTTTGATTACTCCAGACCCCCCCAGCCCCCCTCCCCAGACGCCCCCTGGAGCAAAAAAAAGTAATACTATCCTCCGTTCCATAAAAGTTGCAACAGTTTGACTTTCACGTTTGCCAACGCGCAACTTTAACTGTAATTATATTTATTTACGTATTAGTAAACATTAAAAAAAGTTAATATATTGGAAATTTACATTAATACAAATTTATTAATATTTTATACATAATATTTTTATTATATATATTATTAGAAAATCATAGTCAAAGTAAGGTGTAAGGTGTGTGAATAGTGCAAAAATTTCAATGTTGCAATTTTTATGGAATGGAGGAAGTGTGTGTGTGTGTACACACACACACACACACACATATATATATATATATATATATATACACTAAAAAATTTTGTGGGGGAGAGCACTAACACCTCTGGGTCTCTACTACGGTCAACCCCTGTCTGCGTTCTTTTTTTTTTTTCTTTGTTTGAGCCGTGCAACAAAGGGTGAATGGTGGTAGCAAATCCTCCCCCAAAAGGTGTCATACACCCACTTTGGCACCCCCGGACCTAGGCATGGACTTGGTTCGGGCCGAGCCTGACCGGGCTTTTTTTGGGAATCTTGAGGCCCGGAACCGGCTCGGGTAGCTACCAATTCCGGGCCGGGCTAGGTACCCGTTTGGGCCGGGCCAGGTACCCGTTCGGGCCGGCCCGGCCCGATTTCTTTTTTTTTTCTAATTACTTCCCACCCCCAGCCCCACACACCCCAAACCTGTCCAAAACACCAGCCCAACCAATTTACCTTTTTCAAATTTTGGGAGGCCCGAGAACCGCTCTGAACAATGTCGGGTCAGGTGGCCCGAACAGAGCACAGACCCGGGTACCGGGCCGGGCCAGGCCGTAACAGTACCGGGCCGGTTAGCCCGGCCCGAGTCCATCCCTACTCGGACCCTCTACATTTTTTTGGTGGGTTGCACATTTTTGGTGGAAAGCTCGTAAATGACTTTTTTACCCGTGGTTGCATTAGTGTAAATGCGCACGAGGGTAGGCACTGTTTAAAAAATATAGACTTGGTAATTTTTTTTTGCACGGATAGTATTAGTAATTAGGAGTTAAATTCATTCTCACGCTTATGATCCAATAAATCTAATTAAATAGCATTAGTTCCTAGATGAGTCCTCAAACTCATTTCTCATATGTCAAAGGAGCTCTCTTGGGAAGAAAAGGTGAAAAGTAGATAACAAATACCCGTATGGTTTAAAGCCCATGCCAAAAATGGCATCATTAATATCGAGTTCTGTTTAAAAATTGGCATGTTGAACATCATAGTTGATGGGAAGTTTCGTTAAAAAACTTAAAACACGATCATTTTGAACTGATTTTTTATATTAAATCAAAGAAATACGTATGACATTGAAATGAAGTCATTGTATAGTAATGGACTATTTTAACACAATTTTTACTCCATTCATATAGAAATAAAATTCTCGTTTTAATTTAAGGTATTTAAATGACGATATACTTCCACCATCTCACTTCCATAGTGAAGTTATTCTACATGACTACATGTATTTTCGAAGTGAAGTTGTAACCCAAGATATTTTATCATAACATATTCAAATTCCAAGTGTGCCTGACAGAGGAGATGTATCAACAAATACGGAGTATAGAATAATGATTCTTATTCAGTCTGTTAATTAACTAATTCTATAAGTCACCAATTTTACACGCAGAACGTTGCAAATCAGGCCAAACGAACCTATGCAGACTAAAGCTAAGAAAAGCTAATTGCCTGATGTAAGGAGTTGGGTGTGCAACCATATCGCTTACCATAACTACTAAAGAAAGAAGAAAAAACATACCGAGTACGTAGTAAAACATTGCATTCTAAGGGGACAGTGAACACAAAAACAGCCAAACCTATCGCTCGGATGTAACAATTGCCATTCATTTTCTCAAATCTAAGGAACCATTAAGAACCTGCGTGGAGGGCTTCACGTTCGGCTCACTGACCATTTATCGCCAACACTTCCACTGGACTCGCTCAATGAGATGGTAATGAGAAAAGCTGGGGCGGTGTTAGATTCTTTGGGTGAAATGTCTGGAATTGATATCTCTACTTCATTTTAGAAAACACTTTCTTCAATTTAGTCACATATATCTTTACACAATTTTTTATATATAATATTCAGAATATTTTTTCATTTGAGCAACATAATCAGCAACTCCATAACAAATCACAATCACTGACTTCAACCAATTTAAGCCTTACCTTTAGTACGAGAAAAAAAATTAGCTGTAAATCATATTCCTTACATCTATCTCACATATCACTACCAGATAGAAATCAGAATGACAGATCTGAAATGTATAAAGAACAACTCTATGACTCTCAGCTATACAAGCTCAAACCATGTCACAGGGGGGGGGGGGGGGGGGGTAGAACAAACTGAGCAGAATAAAATACCACACAGCTCATTTTTTTGGATAAACTCCACACAGCTCATTGTTGTACAATAATGTGTATAATGTATTACAACTACATGACCAATATAGTTGCACAATTTTAGATCTGAAGTCTGAACATAACATTAAGGTGTACTGAAATGGAATCTGAATATTCTTTAATTTGTTTAAAAAGTCAAATAATGTGTACCTTCAGACTTTCAGTGACATCAATGAGTCCTAGAGAGTTGCTTAATGCATACTATTGCTAATCTAAGACAACTACAGTCTTTATTGCTCTAATACCAATGTAAAGTACTGTGATAATGTGATATTGCTTACTATTGTCTAGCCTAAGTTGAAATATAAGATTCCTTTGATAGTTTTGTGTCAACTTTCTTCCAGATATAAGCACTAAGTTTAGCTGTCAGTAAGCTTAAAAAGCCCTTTCCCCGGAAATGAGAATGCCCTACAATTAGGATAGAATAGGACCCCCCACTCACGTTTGGATCACATCCATCAAGAATGGGTGCTGTGATTTTGGGAAATCTAGGCATCTAATGGTTCAACATGGTAAATGCTCTATAAGCTGTATATATTGTACTAGGAATCGTTTCTATTATCATTCTCTAGCCAAGCATATCTTCACTTTGTTTCTAAGCTTATAGCTAATGATCCATGCATGTGAGTTCTGTTAAAGTCCCCTTTGGCAGAATTAATCAGTTTATTCTATTATAAGCACAATAATATTACAGTACTTTATTAGGCAGGAATTGGTTTATCAAAAGCTTTTCCTTTCTGAAATTCAGCAAACTCCACCATAGAGCCTTGCAGATGATTTATAAGCAATACTAAACAAGAGCAAACCATTAGAAGACCCATTCTTTAAATTTAAAATAAAAAATGCACAGTGTTTGACTTTACCCCTAAATAACAAGCATCAACAAAACTAGTCAACTAATTTATCACAAGAATACAAACTACATGTTTTTTTTTAAAGTTGCCTTCAAATTTGTTGAGAAATGAACATTTAACAGCAACAATGCTTAAATCTTAAAAAGCATCAGGAAAGTGATAGGTCTGGTGTGACCTGAAAGTGAACTACAAAGGGATCATCCGCCTGGTTTTGTGGGCTTGCGATACTTCTCCTCAACGTCCTTGGCCTTGAAGAGAATGGACTCTATGAACTTCTGAATGTTAGGGACGCTATAATTTTGTGCGATGTAGATTCCGCACACTGTACCGGTTATGAATGAGAAGCCGCTCCTAATTAGCCCCATCTCTGTTCGTCTTTCCAACCTATGAGGCTTTGCTGTGGAAGTAGATGAGAGATTTCGAGAATTTAGCTACTATTAGGCGTTTCTGACTTCCAGCTTTTGTGTACTATTTAAGAAGTTTTAAAATAAAAGATCTTTTCTCATCTAAGATGCTTCTAACACTAATTAATCCTAACAGCTTATATACCAAACACAGCTAAATTAAACAGTTAGCTTTTCATCAAATAATTGTTGCCTTTTCTTTTTAAGATCTTTTCAATCACTAAAAGCTAATAGTTACTAAAAAACTCATAAAAGTATCTTTTCAGCTAGTTGTGCCAAACATGCCCGTAAAGAAGACGGCGTGGACAACTACCATGTGATCGGCATCCGGATCCGATAACTGCGACGGCGCTCTAGTTTGATTTTTATTTCACAAAAGTTTTCCATTACGGGTAAGCTCAGTATGTGGGAGATTTTATTTTTCAGTATTAACGCTAATTAATTAAATAATTACGAAAATATGGTTGACTTAAAAGTATTTACGGATATACTTCTGGGCTTAATCCTGGTCGGGGTAAGTCGCCAAATGGTTGGATGATTTATAAGTCACCATCCGGTTTGACAACTTATAAGTTGCCCAACCGTTTGACGACTTACCTATTAAATAGGCAGACAGGAAGTTTTTAGACAGAACACAAAACATTTCCCCAAATCCCCCAAAGCTTCAGCGACGAAGGACGAAGGACGAGCGGACGAGAGCCACTCCAACTCCGGCGAAACCACCTTGCCAAGGTCTCTCCACCTCCATCTTCTTCGACAATCTTTCTTCTAGGTAAATCAAACTCCATTTCATCTCATTTTGAAGTTTGAATATATTAGAATGTAGTAATTTTTTTTATTTAAAATATGAATGTGTATAAAATATGTATATTAATGTGTACTCATAAAAGTTGGACATATAATTCTCTTAAAATTGTTTTAGTGACCTAAAATTGTCTCGCACTCCAAATTGTTTCGTACTTCCTCCGGTTCCTATTAAAGTTCTCAGTTTGACTTCACACAGATTAAGAAAATAAATTTGACTTTACTGTGGAGTGCACTGTTTGACACTGTTTGGCACTGTTTGACACTGTTTGGACACTGTTTGGCACTGTTTTGTTTCCTACAATGGAAGTGTGAATTTAAATAAGGGACATCCCAAAAAGGAAAGTGAGAACTTTAATAGGAAACGGAGGGAGTATATATAATGGAAATAAATTAAACCGCAATAAATTCTATTTCACCGTCTTCCCGCAAAAACTGACCTTCCCTTCTCTCTTCTTTCTGTCTTTCATTTTTCCCCAACTCTGATGAAGGTCAGAAAGGTCTGTATGGATCGCGGAATGTGACTGCCGACAATTCTCGCATCTTCGTCAGAGATCACCGGAGGTCCTCACTTCTATTTAATTTACCTACTAAACTAATTGTTTTGTATTCAATATATGTTCCTTGGTTATTCGTATGCATCAAAGTTCCATTCTTTTTCGAATTCAACTGTTTTGCATACATATATGCTGGGCAGAATTATTCATCTGTTCGTTCTTTCAACTTATTGCTCTAGTTTTCTCGGCGCCTAGGGTATTATTCGGCGGTTCTCGACTTTTTTTTATTTTTTTTTATTTTTGGGGGTTTGGGTCTAAGTTCTGATTGAAATTGAATCTTTAAAAAAGTCTGGAACCCTCTTTGCCCTTTTGGTATGATGATGAAATGGTTTACTTTTATTCGTGGTCATCTTTGTGATAGCGGAAGCCTTGAAATTGAGTCAAGAGCATAGTTTAGCTTCTGTGGAGGTAATAGTTACTGTTTTTCTTGAGGCACGAAAAAAGATTACGTGTGCTGGCTTAGAAGCAGCTACCAGCTACTACTTGACCACTATTAATAGCTATGTGCACAACAAATAATAATTATAGAAAAATGAACTTCGGTAAAAGATTGTGCATCCACCCTTATCTTAAGGCCATACATAATCCCGTTGCTTTTTCGTGTTTCACTTTATCCCGAGATAGTGCATTTTGAATAAGACGTTGTCACGAATGATCATTTAGAACCTGTTTCTTAAGTTTTTTTTCTGGATGGAAAAAATCTGGAAACCCGTTTGGTAATTTTTTTGTGTGTCTGAAATGGCTGAATTTGCTATTTTTTGTGCAATTAAAAGCATTTGGTGAAATTGTTTTCAGACAAATGACTAAGCAAGATAATGCGATTAGTGCTACAAAATATTTCCGTAAGCTGTATGAATATTTTTTCTTTATGGGCAAGGTTGAAGATATCATATGCTCAATAAATTAAAATGTTTCGCTGTGAAAGATAATTCAGTTTCATTTTTGAAGCAGGTTATCCGGATTCGAAGAATTTTATGAGTTTCCGTCAGTTTGGGATCAAAGAATAAAATTGGCTTTTTAATTTTTTTGATTGTCGAAGAATCATATCAGTCTCCGATGGGAGTGAGCTACATGTCAGTTTCAACCGCCTGTACTGCTCTAAGCTTTATTGGGCTTCAGTGTTGGATAGGATGGTCACTTGATAAATTAAGTTCTGATGGACCCATTCTTTCAAGTATTCTCAACTCACGTGATGCAAGTCCAGCACTTGAGGCAGTTCTGGATTCGTACACCACTATTGCACTGGCGGCCAATTTTGTCATTAACACATTTGTTTTACTGATTTTGTGTCTCAAGGTCCATCCCTTGCAGCTTATTAAAGTTTGTTGTGCATATTTTATTACCCTTTCTGGATTATATTTTGAGTGGGTAGTTGTATGCATTTGTAGACTATATTCTTCGGAGAATTGCACTCGTCTGAAAGTAGGAAATTGGCTGAACGCCTCATCAACTATATCATCTACAAGGTAAAGCAGATTTCATCACCTAAACCATTCATTACGAGGATGCCTAATTTATTTATTTAAACTATGTTTGGAATCCCTAAAATGGTAGAGAAATGAAAAAAAAGGCTAAGGAGATTAGTTTTTATGTTTTGTTTATCTTGGAAATACAAAGGAAAATGAAATTTGATTATTTTTCATTTAGTTTTTATAGGTTCCATATATTAAGATATCTTAGGGTCTTGTAAGTTTTTATAATAGCAATGTATGAATGGAATGAGTTTGAACAAATATTTGGAACTCAATTGTGGAGCTTGGACCAATCTATTACCCCCATTTTCACTCCTTCCACATTTCTTCACAGTTTTCCTCCTTTTCTTTCCCCTAGTATTTTTTGGGTTTCAAACGGTTCCTAAATGTTTGTTCATGCTGTTAGTAGGGACCTTTCATCCCCCTGGTCATTCCATCTACAGTTTTTCAAGCAGGACTATGGTCAACATGGCTGGTTGTCCTATGTTCTTTAAAGGTATTGACGTTGAAATTATAATTTTGTGTGTGTTTAATTTCCCAATTTCTGTTGGCAAATGGATCATTGTGCTGCTATGCTTTTTACTATACAGATGTTTCAAGCATTAGCCAGGGATCGCCTTGAACGCTTGAATGCTTCTCCCAGTGCTACACCTTGGACCTATTTTCGTGTTTATTCTATGCTTCTCCTGGTTTTTTCCTTGGACATGCTCTGGTGCTTACTTATTTCTTTAGATGTTGTATTCATTGTCAAGAAAATGCATTATTTACGTATGGTAGAATTCAAGATCGAGCTTGTAACTTAACTGGGTTACAACACTCATGGCCCAGATAACACCAGAAAATGGTAACAACTCAATTAGTTAGTCTCACCCTAGACATTATGAACACATACATCTCACTTTAGTATATTGATCCTGGACTCCCTTTAAAACTTAAATGAAGTCCTTTAGTGCGATAAATGCATGATTTGAAACAGCAGTTGCTATTTGCTAAATTACATTTCTATATGTGATGTTCTTTGTTAAATTAAGCTTCTCTAAATTGCAGATGGATATAGTTGTAGCTTTTTTTGTTAAGTATTAAAATGGTTTGAGTTTAGGCTCTTGTGAATGCTATGTTTATTCTCGTCTATATGTCATGAAGACTTATTTATACTTTTTGTAGGATAAAGCTGTGCCTGACCATATACAGCACAATAAGTTCACCAATATATTTATTGCTGTTCTTTGAGCCTCTTAGCATTGCCTTTGAGACGCTTCAGGTAGTCAAGTGAGAGTCTTAGATAAAAAAGGGGAAATTTCAACTTTGCACCCCATTTTTAAAAGCGTAAATGTGTGCACCACTGCATCCATCCAATTAAAAAAGTTAAATGTGTGCTGTTCGCACTTGTCCCTTCACATTTTTGGAATGATGGAGTGCATGAAACAACTTTTTTAGAAATGGGATGTGAAGTCAAATTCCCCCATAAAACTGTTTGATTCTATTTTTGAAATAATTTTAAACAGGCTCACACTGAATTTTTGTTTTCCAATGTTCCTCTTAGGCTATTCTGGTTCATAGTTTTCAGTTGCTTGATATATGGATTCACCACTCTTCAGGAAGTATTGCAAATAGTCAAACAACCAAGCTATTTGATGTTTCTGCTGCAGGTATGCATTATTTTGTTTTCTTAATTTTGTTTGTCACTATGTGCTTCAGTTCAATTAATAATTAACTTATAGTGGCTTGTTCTCTCTTGTTTCGTTTGGAAGAAAATCTCCCTTCACAACCCCATAATCAGTATGATGCTTTATCTTCTTATTATTATTTGATCTTCCTTGGTGGCCGTATGAGACTCGGAAAATGCAAGGGAATAAAAATGGGTAGGAAAATGTAGATGCAATTTGTAAGGAAACCAAATGGAGGGAAATAAAAAGCATTGCTTCAAAATAATTTTTAATATTTGTAAAAACTTATTTTATTTTAATTTTTCAATTATATAAGGAGTACTTTTCCATCATTTGCAATGGAGCCAAAGATTCATTATTTTTTGCCTTGATATTATGATGGAATAAAGCAAAATGGCTCACTGCCTCACTAAATTGTCTGCGCTTCTTTGTTATGAAGCAGCAGTCAGTCCATGCAATTTTGGACGGTATTTTCACTATGAGTCATCCAGAAACAGTATCTCTGTGCTTTAGTACAGGGGTAAGACTGTGTACATCCGACCCCCCTTATCCCACCGTAGGTGGGAGCCTTTGCGGCACTGGGGTAAATGAAAATGAAACGAAAATAAGGAGTACAATACCACACAAAATTAGACATATGTAGAAACATTAAAAGTTTGAATTCTATTTCATTATCTTCGTTTTTCCAAGACTAAACCAAACATTAAGAAACCAATTATTTTAGTTTTTTCCCCTTTTCCTTGACAATTTTCTGAGTTCCAATTTCCAAATATGGCATGAGGAATTTAGGATAAAGGAAATTACCCTTATGGCCTTATTAAAGGGTTACAGAGCTCCCTAATTTACCTATAAATTCATATTTTATCAGACATTTTTAAATATTATCAAGTGCTGCAAACGCAGGTTCATTTTTGGAATGGAAATGCATTCTTATTCGGAACTTGGGTTTTTTCCTGGACATGATGACATTGTTGATGGCCCTTGCGCACTATGTGCATATTTGGTGGCTTCATGGCATGTCGTTTCATCTTATGGATGCAATCCTTTTCCTTAACATCCGTGTAAGTCTTTCATAGATCAATTTTATCTTGTTCTTTTTAACGCTTCACATACTTTGCTCATTGGTTCAAAAGGGAAAACTTGCCTTTTTCACCCCTTCCAATGGTTTGACATTATGTAATGCACACATGTATGGAGAATCTTTTTATATTTTGTAAATTCACTCTCTTAGTTGTCTTTATATATTAAAATTAGCTGTTGTCATTAAATCTAGTGTTTGTTTTGTTGAATGCAGAGAGTATTAGGGTTTATTGGGGGTGGGGGCATACTTGACATTCTCTATTGCTGTGAATTTCCCCATATATACCACGATACTAGACATTGATTATTTTAAACGGGAATGATTAATTCTGTTTCAATCATAACAATTTAGGGACTATATTTAGAATATTAGTCCAAATTAACTAATTAAATAATGTCTAACATCTGAAGGAGGAAAGTGTTGTTTTTCCTTCAAAAAGCATCATTTTTTTGCTGCTAATAGTGAGCTCTTGTTGATTCCAGGCCTTATTGAGTGCAATTGTGAAACGCATAAAAGGATTTGTTAAATTGAGAGTAGCATTGGGTACCCTTCATGGTGCACTTCCTGACGCAACATGTGAAGAGCTGCAAGCATATGACGATGAATGTGCTATTTGCCGGGTAGTGACACCTTGATGTTTATTTGGGTGGGGGAGTCACTTCGTATAGGTTTTTATACTTTAGATCCTGTTAAGTAAGGCTTAAAATGAGTGAAGTGGTTGCTGGATCTGCTAGAGTGCTTAAAGTTGTGGCTGAACCTTTTGTGAATAATCATAAATTATTTAATATGTATATAAAAAAATCAAGCTAAAGATATCTGAAAATATAGATAAAAGCATCATTTTAGCAAAAGAGCAACTCCTGCACTACTTATTTTTTATTATAGCCGTGATCAGCCAGCACAATATTTGGTGAAAAAATTGCTGATAAGAGGATTAGAAAAAGTAGAGCCAACCAATGGGCTATTAGATACAATTCTTTTGAATAACTTAACATGTGGGTGGGTGGATGCTGGCAGGAACCAATGGCCAAGGCTAAGAAGCTCTCTTGCAATCATCTCTTCCATCTTTCCTGCTTGCGATCTTGGTATGTCCCTTGTTTATCCCGGGGATTTCATTTGTTATGTTTGTTCACCCATCACCGCCATCAAGCCTAATATGCTCTCAATTCATTATTACCGGCATTGGTCATCTTTATCAGGCTGGATCAAGGTCTAAATGAGAATTATTCGTGCCCTACTTGCCGGAAGCCACTTTTTGTTGGCAGAGCCGAAAATGAAGTGAATAGCCAAGCTGCCCAAGTTTCTGGAGATGAACAGCTTGCACGTCAAATGAGTCTGGTACTTGACCGGTCAAATCTTCCTGGTCATCCCCATCCTACTGAAGTATTCCACAATCACCAACAGAACCCTTTGGAAAACCGTGAATGGAGGTTTCATTGCTTTCATTCTTTTTATGCGCTTTATAAATAATAAGCCATATTTTAAATAATAAAACGAGTAGCGGCAGTGTTTTTTATCTACCGGATGCAGAATGCTATACACATTTGTTCAATAGTTAAGTGTTAGCTGGCTGTTGTAGCTGTTTGACAGGTTGGTCGTAGCACAAAAATCATATTTGGTAAAATGACATTTAAACGTGTATTTATATAAATATTCATTAATTATTGAGAAAATTCATTAAACAGGACTAAAATCTAGACAAAGTGCGCAAATAGGAATATCATTGTTTTCTTCCTAGAATAGGACTCATTTACTCCTAAATGAGGAAGTTTTATGCTTTTAAATTTTTAATATGATCAAATAAGTTCTATTTTCGGAATAAAACATTGTTAGTCCAATTTGTGCACTTAATCTATGTTTTAGTCCTTTTTGTAGGGATTTCTTTTAATTTTTTATATCAGAACAATGTATGCTATGTACATTTATGAAAACTACGTACAGATAAATAATAGGTTAATTTATTTTCTAATATTAATATTTATTAATGATTATAAATTTATCTCCAATTCGAATAGTTGTTACTTAAAATTTATTTTTTAAATTGGTTTAGTTTTTCATACTTAATTATTATCATACGGAGTAATTTTTAAAAAATCAATGAGCAGAAAAAGGCTGCTACCAATGGCTTAATCGAACTACCATATTTTGCCTTTTTAAAGTTCAACAAGCTTATTCACAAGGCCGTTTACTAAACACCCATTTAAGATTTTAAGCTAGTCAACTAATCAAACCTACCAAAATGTTGCTGATAAGCCACCAAACAAGACCATTGGCTGATATATGCTGCTTATTTTGTTGTCCTTTATTCATCATACTATCATAGAGGGGCTGGTGTGGATTCAAGTTGGTTGAGTTTGGACGGGGCGAGCTCCTCGACAAGCGTAAGATCGGGGGGATTTGGTAGAGTGCAAATGATGATGCGACATCTTGCAGCCGTGGGAGAGACATATGCCCAGACTGCCCTTGAAGATGCTGCGTGGAGTCTTTTATCTATGCATCATTCCTCCCAGGCCAGTACATCCACTTCACCCACCCCACCCGTGAATCATGATAGTGATAGTGGTTTGCGCTTGAGAACCCCACATGGGGGCGTAAATGACAACAATTTAGCACACTTGATGGCAATGGCTGAAACTGTTAGGGAAGTTTTGCCTCATATCCCGGATGAAATCATATTCCAGGTCCGTCTTTTTAATTTGTTTCTCTCATCCTTTAAATATAAGTTGGGAACTTAGTATGTACCCTGTGTCCAGTAGACAACTTGCTTGTGCTAGTAGATCCTAATGCTGTAAAAATGCTAGACATCAAACTGGGGCTGAATACCTTAGTCTGAGATCGTTAAGAGGTAGGTTGGTTTTAAGTGGGGAAAAACTTGCCTGTCTGGAAGATGTTTTATGGCCTATGCCTATCCGTCTTTTCAGAAGAATTTTCACCCAACGCTAAAAGCCCGCCTGCTAAACTATCTAAAACAATTCTCTTTGAAATTTAAACAAAATATATTTGAAAATGGAGCTTGAAGTGCCATTTTCATAAATTTCTGGGTTATGGATTGCAGGATTTGCAGAGGACAAACTCACCGACTCTTACTGTGAATAATCTCCTACTAATGTGATCTGAATCGGTGATGCTCTTCCTTGATGACATATTTATTACATATACATGGATGAGTAAGGTGGGATGCAGCTGAGCTGCATGCCAGGTTCCACACCATCTGTTGTAATTTGTTGTATCTTGAGATAGATATATATAATACATAAGCTTCATTTTTGTATATAGATGGAAGCAGTTCTTCATTTGTTAACCAAACTTCCAGTTAACATTATTGGAGAAATAATTCCTTATAGTAAACAACAAACAAATACAAGCACGATCATCTCTGCGCACAAGCCTGCTTCATTTTCGTTTTCTGTTTGTTTTTATAACAGATAAGATAATTTGATCTTAATAGTTATACCTTTTTCCTGCTTATGACCTCTTATTATTAAGAGGCAAACCTTCCACACTTTATTGAAAATTATTCGATCTTTGTTCTCTTCTAATATGGGTTAGGGTGGCTACTACCCAGAAGTGGAACTTCTTGGGAAAATCCTGTTTTGGTCCCAAACCAATTCTGATTCGGCTCATTTTCAGCCAGTTGGTATCGGACTATCGGTACCTGTTGCATTTTAAGAGTTTAATGCATCAACTCTACCATGATAAAATAATGCACACTATTTAAAAAATGCTTGGACTCCATGTCTCCATGGGTTATGATCAATCATGTGCAAAACCTTTCTCAAGAATGAATTTAGTAATTTGTAAATGTCTTATTATTTTGATTAAATATATGAGCGAATTTAAGAATATCTCTAAACTGTACAAAAATATTAATCATTTATTTATTCTATTTGATAATTAAATTTGTTCTTGGAGGAGTTTTGTGAATGATTAATTAAAATTAGGGGTTTGACTTGGTATTTTATAAAAGTGCGGCTGAGAGATTGTATCAAGATTGGATCGTGAAGCTTTGGTCAGCCATTCCGGCAGTGGTGGCAGGGGCGGGCCCACTAAGGGTCCCACGGAGTCCCGTGACCTCGTGTACTTCCAAAAAATACCTATATATTTTATATATTTTATTTAAAATTTACTTATAAAAGTATATATAACACAAAAACAACTATGAATCCCAAAGAATGAAGTAGAGCAATGGAGGAAAAGCTTTAAAAACTTTTACTTTTCCTGGAGGTGCAAGGATTGATTCTCTCTCAATCCTATTCCTCTTTTTTTTGGGTTTATTATTGTAAAAGATCACAGTTACATCCTTTTGCCTTTTTTAAAAATCCCCAACTTTACACTTTACATAATTTAATTAATTATTAAAATTTCTATTATGATTTTCGATTATTAAGTGAAGAATTGAATAAAATAATTGGTGAATATGAAATTAATTTGACTGACAATACACATGATCAACATATTTATTTTGAATCTTTAGAAGCTTATCCTGGTTTGAGAAAAAAATTGTTGATTTGCATCCTATTGTTCAAGACGATGTGCGCGAGACTATGAAACGTTGTACTACTTTAATATTTGGAATTTTATCAATTCAAAACTTGAAAGGAAAATGAATTATAAATTCGAGATCTGAAAGAAGAAATTTATAGATATAAGACTCAAATTGATTTTGAATCAAAGGGAAAAGAGATATGATGTACTCGAGGTCGTTTGTGCTCCATTCTACCGACTTTCAACTGTTTCAATTGAGGTAATTCATCTATTTTTCTAAACCTAGGGTTTTTTAAATTTTTGTTCGAAAATCGCTCTTTTTTTGGATTATTATTTTTGTATTTGATGTTATGAGATATATAAGTTGGTAATTTAGTTATTATGCTTGATTTTATATAATTTGTAGAATTTGATTTTTTTATTGTGTTGGTTGGATTGAGTTTGATATACGGGTAGTTTGGAAAAGAGTAATGTAGCACATCATTAATACGTATCTATCAGATTTTGTAATTGAATGAAATCATAAAAATGATACATATGATTTAATACAGTTCGTTTGAATTAGTAGTTAAGTTTTCAATGTGCGACATAAATCACATTTTTTTGGAATGATTTTTGATAGAATATGTCTCCAAACTTTCCCATTGTGTGTCATTGGGAGGAAATATAATCGAGGAGTCGAACGAAATTCGTTATGAAGGGGGAGTCGGAAGATAATTGTTGTTTCCTATGGGGTGGATGTGGCTGAGTTAATGAATAAAATTTATACCGTCACATCCATCAATCGTATGAACGAGCTGGATTTGAAAGTTAAATATCCCGTTCATGGTGGGTCATACATGTTGATGCCTCTTGCTGACGATGAAGCCGTTACGGGGATGTGAACCTTGATCACGAATCTTGCTATGCATACCATGAAGATATATGTTGAAGAAGCGACTGTGTTGCCCATACAACCTGTCATTATCTTACCCATCCACAAGTGTTCCAGTTGTGATGAATATGATTGCACAGGAGAATGGAAGATACGTGAATAGTGATGCAACGTTTCTGAATTCACAGCACATCAACGACGATGCCTATGAAAATGTGAATCATGACACACTAACAGATTCAGATGAAGATGTTGGTGATCTCGTAAGTGGCAATGCTCCATCCAGCCACTACACTAAAGTTGATGACCTCCCTGCGGGATTTGATGAATCATGGTGGGGTTGTACAACTCCCAGTCGCTTCTCTGCAGATGGTGATTCGTTTTGTGTTTCAGATGTTTTTTGTTTTGTTTTAGTAAATCATATGTTTGGTTGTTTGTTTGAGTAGAATGGACTGTGATAAGCAAATTTTCTGGTAACTACAGGTTCATTTGTGTAATTAATAGTTCAGCAGCTTGCTTAACACAAGAGCCGCCACTTGAAGTGGCGGCTTTTGTATACGTATAGAAGAACCGCCACTTCAAGTGGCGGCTTTTGTATAGCACGATGAAGAGCCACCACTTGGAGTGGCGGCTTTGCTTAACCATTGTTAACCCCAACAGTATTTTGGGAATTATTTTTGAACCAGCAGTATTTCAGGAATATTTTATTTAATTAGCATTATTCCGGGAAAAAACTCGGAAAAATGGCCAATGTCATAAAATGACACAATTTGTCAATGTCGCCGAAAGTATCACAAATGACTTAATATGAAAATGTCGCAAAAATGTTCCATTTTGTATACAAATGTCACAATGCTAAATGGTTATTGATAATGTCATTGACTTTATTATTGACATTGTAAATGACATACCAATATGGCTGACGATCATATATAATATTAGTAATATTCATGGTGTAGCAATATGAATGGTGCATAATAATGACATTGAATGACAATGACATTGTCAATGCTATAAAAATGACATTGAATAAAATTATGACATTTTCATGACATTTTCATGACATTGAATAAACTTATGACATTTTCATGACATTGAATAAAATCAATGTCAGGTCAATGACATTGTCAATGCTATAAAAATGACATACTATGTCGATGTCGATGTCATAAATATGACATAACTTTTAATGACATTGTAATATAGAATGACATTATATGAAATTATAATGAATAATGTCATATATGCCAATGTAAATATGTAATGATATCTATGTTTGAATAAAAAATAAAGCATAAAGTCAAAAAATGAGAAGCAAAAAATTGACAATGTTAACACAATTTATGAACATGGTCATTCCGTTGACATTGTTGGAATTATGGCATTGTCATGAAAATGGCCATTATTCAAAATATAAAATAACATTGTCTATTTTATGGACACTTCAAAAACAAAAACACACACATATGAGCAGCATTCCGATTCACACATTAGAAATTCAAACCAACTTTGCAGCAACAGAAACTTCCAAAACCACGTCATGGAACTCAAGGCCAAAAATGAATCTTATTAATTATTATTGACAGTGGAGGAAATTGAAACCAGCTGATAGCAGTAAAATTTAACACTCCAACTATGCTTCCTGTAGCAAAATTTGGAAAGGAAAAAATAAGTGCCAAGTATTTGAATAATAAATTTGATTGGAATAAAAACAAACTAGCTCCAAACAAGCCCACGTGCTAACAAAAAAGGTCAAATAAGCTCTTATATAGTAGGCTATGTCCGGCCGTCGTCATTTGGGGCGGTTCCCGATGGAAATTTTTGATGCAATTTTTTGAGCATATTATTCATTAAGTCTAGTTTACTCATACCAAATTTCAGGTAAAACTTCAATTGGGAAGACATTCAAATGAATTCTTGAAGATAACTGCGCAGTGTATTGATGTGTATAAAAATGTGTACACCAAGAATTGTTTTTTTATATATTCAGTGAATGTTAGATGAACAAAAAAATCTTTGGTAAAGTGTTTTTTATCTGTACAGTAATGGACCTACTAAATCTAGAATGCAATAACATTTTGTCAAAATGGCGCGTTATATGAGGCAAAAAATGGTCAAGTTATTAAAACATGAAAAAATGACCCTAATATTACGATTAGTGATTGCATTTCCAAAAGTATGACTCTTTTTTATTTTTTACTTAAATGCGACTTTAATGAATTCAAATGAACATCCTACTTTATACAAATATGTGAAGTCTTAATTGCAATTAGTTTCTCCCTCATTAACATCCAATCATTCCCTACCCATTCTCTCAAATTCATCTCACCTTCAATTCTCATGTAGCCATAGTCTACGCAGAAACACCGGCCGCCCTATACATCAACACCCACCGTCGGAATTAGCTATCCATCGTCGGAATCAGCTACCGACCGTTGCAAGACTTCACCACCGGAACCAGCCCCCCTCCTTGCTCTCACTCATTCCTCACCTTCTCGCACGACACGGAAATGGAATCTAGATTTTGGCATAGGGATGGCTGACGCCGCCCTATGGCTCTCTTCCGTGGGAATTCACATTGTTATCCTTTATTATGTGTTGTCTGTGTTTTCTCCTTCAACCTTTATCTCCATGTTTAAAAACAACATGCACTGCACCGAACTTTCTTCTGTTGCCCTCATGGAGGGTTTGGGTCATTACGGGTTGCATAGTATGTGGTTGTTTTTAGTCACTAAAGGATGCACGAAAGAACTATAACAACGACTAGATCTTTGGTTTTTGAAGGAGTTGTCCATTTTTTATTGAGGTGGTGTGGCTTCAGAAGCTTCATTTTGGTGGTTACCATCGTGAGTGAAGCTGTGAGGTCACTATAGTTTCATTTATATTCCAATGAGTTTGATAATTTATTAAGGATGCACTTGTTCTTGGAAACCCCACGAAGGGATGTGTGTGCAAGGGGTCATGGTGGCCGGTTATGTGCAGGGTAAGTGATAAGGCTAGAGTAGATATGCAGTGACTGTTGGACACTGAAAGAGATAGTCACTATAAGGAGTCCGTCTGTGGTCAATAGTGACGGTCATGCCATTGGGGCCAAAGATAGTCACTATACGGAGTCCGGCAGTAGTCATTGAACGGCATAGTCACTAAAGGAGTCCGACGGTGGTCATTGAACGACATATTCACTAAAGGAGCTGACGATGGTCACTGAACGACGTAGTAACTGGGCGGGTTATTGGCGGTAGTTACAGACTGACATTGTCACTATATGCGCTTGTAGAGTAAATGCACGACATGAGTCACAGAGCGGAGTATTATCTACTTTAATATATAGTGACTAGGTTTCACTTGCAATCAGAAATAAGCTAATACGGAGTATTATCTACCACAATCTATAGTGACATGGTCTCAATTACAACCGGAAATAACCTACCCATTAATAAATAGCAGGATGTCATAAATTTTACGGAATATATAGCCTTTTCCTAAACTTTAGATGGCGGTTATCAAAATTAAAGGAGCTCATAAAACTGCCTTTTGCTTTCTATTTAATTGCATGATGATAGATGCCTTCAATGGATGGATCTGTACAAGGTAATTAACCAATTAAATAGCAAACATGATTACTCTAGTAATCACTTTTTTGGAACTTTAATTTATGAGTCACATTTTTATCATTTCATATTATATTAGTAATATTCATATTCATAAATCATAATAAAAGCCTTAAAACATTTTGTCATTCTTCAGGAACACAATAAGTAAGTAATTGCATGACTTTAAATTATATGACCCAACTATTGGTCTCATCATCATTTATTATAAAATTGATTACATGAAGACCAATAACAATAATAATGAGTTAATGACAACAAACTGAAATGACTTGCAACAAAATATGAGTTTCCAACCTCCCCAATAATGTTATTAATTCAACTGATTTGTTTTTGGTTTTGTCTAATCTAATTCAGTAGAACTGTGGCATGATCTAGTCCGAAAAATGTCTGATTTTGTGTATTTTATAATTATCAAAGTCTGGTTTCATTTGTTTAAGTTTGATCTAGTGTGGTCTGATATAGAAGGTGCATAAAAAACCGAACCAATTAACCATATTAAATAACCGAAAAATCGGTATTTTTTTGTTAACCATACTATATTTTTAAACAAGCGCGGTACGGTTAACCAAGGAAAAGAAAAGAAAGATACATGACACGATTATGATTTTGAAATAAAACTACACCGGTTAATCGATTACCCAAAATTAAAATATTACTTCTAAAGTGTAAACTAATGTTGCAGGCAAACTATGGCGTGAGTATTGTCTCGCACTAGGAACGAGAGCAAAAAGTACGTGGTTCATTTGAGAATTGGGATTGGAGCTATATTATTATTATTATTATTATTATTATTATTATTATTATTATTATTATTATTATTATTATTATTATTATTATTATTATTATTATTATTAGCAGCGACTAATTAATTTGTCATACGACACCATCACAATTGAGGATATTACAATCGTTAATAATACAGAGTACATGGGAATAATAATAGGAGAGTAAGATCTCGAGGTAAATTGGATGATCAACGCAAGACACAAGTGACATATTTTTTGTGATTTAAATAGTTTTTTGGTTAACCAATTAATGGTTAACCTATATTAGGGTTAAATGTTAGCTGGTTAACCAATGTTGTGATATGATTAATGATATTGTAAACAAATTAACCAAAATTACGGTTAACCAAAAATTGATTAACCGAGATGTGATTAACCAACCATGTCAACTCCTAGTCTGATATGGGACCGAAAGTCCTCCAAGTACAAAAAACGTAAATTCTCTTCGGGACTATTCTCTTTACATTTAATCCAACCCCCCTCTAACTAAGCCCATAGCGGTGGCCCATCTAAACATGAAATGCAATTGTAGCCCAACTCTTAAGATGAACTAATTAGACGCCCGCACGTTCCTCAACCGTCAATAACCGTCACGTCCTTATAGCGTCCTCCCCTTCCTCTAATTCCCCAACATTTAGAAACGTGTGCGACGCCGTCAACTGATCAGAAGAAAAAAATGGTGAAGCCTATGAGAAGTACCATTAGAAGACGGAAGAGGCTCTCCGGGAGCGGCGCTCGTCTCCGGCGCTGGAGAGATTCCCGAACTTCCGCCGACGACAGCGGTGGAACGGACGATGATTCCTCGTCATTGTGTTCCTGCAGCGATTCGAGCCTGGATAGCGGCGAAGGCGCCACCAACGTTGGGAAAGTGGACTTCAGGAAGTATGGGTTTACGGTTTTCGACGTCCCGGAAGAGCTGACGGGACGGTGGTCTTTGGAGAATACGGCGGCGAATGAAGGGAAACTGGAAGGCGGCGGCGGCGGGTGGGAGAGGGTGTTGGGTGGCGTTGGGAGTTACTACGGGACGCTTATAAGCGGCGCGGCGTTTGGGGCGGTCTCTATGGGAATTTTCATGGTTAGATTCTTTGGTTGTTTTTACAATGTTGATGACCACCTGGGTGCTCTGACTCCCACATGAAAATATGTATTCCACATTAATGGAGAAAACATAGCAAAATTTTATGTACTTTATTAGAGAAGTTTATTTAGATGTTATTTCAATAATGAGATCAGTTTGGTGCGTGTACATTTTTCACTTTTATACACTTGTCTTATGTATAAAGATAAAAACAAGTTCTAATTTCGCGTTTGTCAACGCACAACTTGGATCGTCATTATATTTAATTCTGTATTAGTAAAAATAAAATAAAAATCAGATTATAAAACTTAGTAATGAGACAAATTTAACAAAATTTTTCAAAAAAAATAATTCACATACATTAATAAATAAAATGTAGTCAAAGTAAAGTACATGAATAGTGTATGTATTCCAATTTTGCAATTAATGTGATACGGAGGATAGTATACTATAGTATTACATGATAGTACTTTTTATACACTATTTTTATAAAAACTTTACCAAAAACATGTACTTTTGGTCAAATATTTTGTGATTGATGACATTACTGTTGATCTTTTAACGAGTAAATCTCAAGTTCGAGTCACATTTGAGTTGACATTATTTTGAGAAGAAACTATATAGGTAGTAATATAATAGTTAGAAGGATTTCCTAAAACATGCGTCACCATTTGAAAGTTTTCCTTCTATATTTTGGATGTCATTTGATTCTTTTCATGCAAAATTAATGTTAGATAAATAGATACTATAGATGTTTTTACTTGCTTATTTTAGTGATAGACTATATTAAATTAGACCAAACAAAATTTAAAAAATATAACTAGATTTAAACATATTAGACCAGAAAATTTCAGTTAAAGTTAAAACGTCTATATGTATTTATATATATACCAAACAGTGAATTCCGCACGGAGCTTCCGATCATGAGCTCTTGGCTCGAACGAGACTATATAAACACAAAATGTCTGGCACATACAAATATTGTTTGTTACACAGAATTCTTTTGCATGGTCCAAACACAAAATGGACGAAATATCGTTGTGTATTTAGGGTTATATATTTTCATTTTTTTAAACTTTATGTTTTTTCGAAAGTCAAGCCACCCATCAATGGGGTATACACTATAGAATGTATGTTGTTATGATGTTGAAGTGAGTGCTTATAACATTGTTATATTAGTATGGATTTGTGTTCTTACACACACAAATACACAATATCATTTATTTTTGAAGATAATTTTATTTACACTATAGAACATTTTGAAAATTACACACATAATAACATCATTTAAACTAGGAGATAATATTCTTTTGTTGATTTATTTTGATCCATCATGCATCATGTCCACTCCTTCGAGTTTCTCATTCACAATTGTTTATCCCTAGATAATACTTGTCTGTGCATAGGTATTGGATGTTTATTTTTAAGGGATAGTTGTCTTTATTCAAACAATAATTGTCTTGCCCAAACAATAATTTTTGTGCCTAGAAAATAGTTGTATGTGCCTAGTGCCCGACAATAATTATCCATGCCCACAAAATAGTTGTTTGTTCCCAGACAGTAGTCGTCTATGCCAGACAGTAGTTTTGTGCCAGGCAGTAGTTTTGTGCCAGACAGTAGTTGTTTGTGTTTGTTTAATATTTGTCCGTGTGAATACAATAGTTATGTGTATGAAAAATTACCTTCCTAAATATATTTAGAAAGGATAGTTAGATGTAAATACATGATATACATTAGTTCGTAATCGTGCATAAGTCAATTTGTACGTGAGCTGAGGTATACCCTTTCAAATAATAATTGTGTGTCGTGTAGACTTCCATCTCCTATCAAGCCCACTCCATCCTCCATACTTACATGGAGTGGTGTTCCATCCCCTAGCCATTAAAGAGAAGCATGGAGAGGCATGGGCTATAATATGGACATCAATGAATATGCCTCCAGCCCTGCGTATATATAGGAAGCTCTTCCATTGTTCAAATGCATTAAAAAATCAGAGAGAGTTGCTCCTCCTATTGTAAATATGTTCTGGTTATGAATAGAAGAATTTCCCAATCCTAACAAGTGATATCAGAGCAAGTTTAATCCAGAAACTCAGATTTCTACATTCTGCCCGATTTTTTGGTCTAAAAGTTTTTGTTCCAGAATCGTGTTTTGAGGTCACCATTACAAAGATCTCGTTATGAGGATTCCAAAAATATATTTTTCGGAATTTTTTGATCACCGGAAGGCCTCCAAACGTCCGGTCAACGTTTCTATCTCCTACCAATTATTGCCCTTGCAATACTGCAGTCCGACAGCAGACTCGCCGGAGAAGACAACCCATCAGCACGCCACGTCATTGCCACGTAAGTGCCACCCCAGTGCCCAGTCATCCGCCATGTCACCAATGATCGATTTGTTGGGCCACCTGCCGCAGTTCGTATACCATGGGAGCAGCCCACCGTGATCATGCTGCTCCCACAGGTAAAAACGCGCTTTACTGTTCACCGCGTGAACAATAACTTTTTTTCCTTCTCCAGTAGTAGAATGATGTAACTCATGTTGATAAGAAATGTAACTTAAGGCAAGTCGAAATGTAAATTGTCTAAGGGGGTGTTTGGATTTGATTCTTAAAACTGCTTCTGCTCCTTCAGGGAGAGAATGGAGGAGAGAATGAGGACGAGGCAGAGGTAGAGCTCGAGGTCAAAGTAGAAGAAGATCTCAAGTTCGAGGAATATCACAAGAGCTAGGGAAGTCTGTCGATACCAATACTTGGTTCCAGGGCTATTGCAACCATTGTGGTCATTACGGGCATAGAAAGAGAGAATGCCGAAAGTTTCTACGGGAGCAGCCTCAGACGAGTCAATGTTCAAGCAAGGAAGATGGTGAGACCATGGTCACCATGTCACCAGACATTGCACTTGTTACTTGCGGAGAAGAAGCATACCTACATGTAGGTACACATGATATTGAGTGGGTGATTGATACTGCTGCATCATTTCACGCCACTCCGCACCTAAATCTATTTACAACTTATATTCCCGGAGACCATGGTGATGTGAAGATGAGAAATACGAGTTTCTCAAACATTGTTGGCATTGGAGATGTGCACATTCAAACGAGTGTTGGTTGCACACTTGTGTTGAAAGATGTTCAGCATGTTCCAGATCTGAGATTGAATCTTATCTCAGGAGTTGCTCTGGATCGTCAGGGGTATGAAAGCCAGTTTAAAGAAGGTACGTGGAAATTATCTAAAGGCTCTATGATTATTGCAAGGGGTCATATTTGTGGTACTCTTTACAAAACCCATGTAAAGTTGTGTCGTCCAAGTCTCAATGTTGTTCAAGGAGAGACATCACCAAATTTGTGGCACCTGAGGTTAGGCCACATGAGCGTGAAGGGACTGACAACTCTTGCAAAGAAGGAAGCAATTTTTATTGACAAAAAAGATGTTGCTCTGGGCCCCTGTGAACACTGTCTATTTGGGAAACAACACCGGGTTTCTTTCAGTTCCACTAGTAAAAATCATTCTGAGTTACTCAGCCTTGTCCACTCTGATGTATGTGGACCCATTGAAGAGGAGTCACTTGGTGGTAGCAGATATTTTGTGACATTCATTGATGATGAATCACGAAAGGTATGTGCTTACTGTCTCAAAACTAAGGATCAAGTATTTGATCGCTTTGAAATATTTCATACTATGGTAGAAAGAGAGACAAGAAAGAAGCTGAAGTGCCTCCATTTTGACAATGGAGGTGAATACATTTCTCGGGAGTTCTCAACATATTGTGCTGAACATGGAATCAGACATGGAATCACATGTTCCTCTCAACAACGAGGAAGTGAATGATAATACTCACCAAGTAAATGATGGCTCAGTAGATGTTGATGATGTTCAAGATGAAGAAGTTACTGAGCAGGGGAGCCTTCACATGAAGGCCTTACTGACAACACTCAACTTCGACGTTCTACGCGAGGTACAGTTCCACAAAGAAGGTACCCGAGATCTGAATGGTTCCTTCTTACCAGCAAGGGGGAGTTAGAGAGCTTTCGAGAAGCTCAATCTCATCAAGACAAGTCAAATTGGTGGGAAGCCATGGGAGATGAGATGAAATCCTTACTGAAGAACCAAACTTATGACTTGGTGCAATTTACCAAAGGAAACATAAGCCTTGAAAAATATCGTGGTCAAAGGATTCCAACAAAAACAGGGAATTGACTTTAATGAGATTTTTTTTGCCGGTTGTGAAGATGATGTCGATCTGAGTTGTACTCGGGTTGGTTGCCAGTCTAAATCTTGAACTGGAACAGATGGATGTGAAAACTGCATTTCTCCATGGTGATCTAAAAGAAGAAATATACATGGAGCAACCTGAAGGTTTCCAAGTTCCAAAGAAAGAACATCTTGTTTGCAGGTCAAAGAAGTGCCTCTACGGTCTCAAACAAGCCCCGAGGCAATGGTACAAGAAGTTTGACTCATTCATGGTAAAGCACCAATACAGGAGAACAGTTGCAGACCACTGCGTGTACTTTAAGAAGTTCCCAGATGAAAAATTTATCATTCTTTTGCTCTATGTGGATGATATGCTTATAGTAGGCCAAGATGTGTCTCTCATCAACAACTTGAAGCTAGATTTGTCTAAGTTTTTCGATATGAAAGACTTGGGCCTGATGCAACAAATTTTGGGCATGAAAATTGTTCGTGATCGAAAGACAAGGAAGTTGTTCTTATCACAAGAGGAGTATGTTGAGCGCGTGATCAAAAGGTTCAACTTGGATATTGTCAAGCCTGTAGACACTCCGCTAGCCAATCACTTCAAGTTGAGTAAGGACAATTGTCCTTCTTTTGAGAAAGAAAAGGAGATGATGAAAGCGGTGCCCTACTCTTCAGCCGTCTGGTGCGTACGGGTAAAGGCCTACTGTCGCTTTGCTGACTGAGTCACCGTGATTTAGTCCCCCACCATCCTGTCGGGTCAGGGTGGGGGGCTCTTGGGGTTGTGGATTCAACCTTTTTTTGGACGTGTACGGAGTATGTAAAAAGATTAGCAACTCAATAGGAGAGATTTGTAAATTACAATGGTGATTTCCAAAAGAGTCAAGAGATACATCAAGGCAGTTGAAACTTGAAAGATCTGTTAAAACTTGGTTGTAAATATTATGGAGTATAAAATTATTAATAATTTTATTATCTTGCTTATAAATATTATTGGTTGTAAATGTTGCACTTACATAGC